CTCGAGTTGAACTCGAGTTGAACCTTGGTGTGAAAGTTGTCGCCTGCTGGCGTGGTGACCAGGTGATTTGGGCACCCAGGAGCACGTGACCGCTTCTTCAACCATGTTCGATTGGGAATAAAGGAGGAACGCTGCATCGCAGCCTTTTCGGACCAAAACCGGTCGACTCAGCATCCAAAAGACTACAACATATGGGCCAATCGCGGTCATCCGTGCTTTTATAAGAACAACATAGCACTTTTAGTGAGATTTTGCATACAAATCCCCATCTAGTAGGGCGCAATCACCCAGTTTCGGTGGAAGTGCGCGGGTTCGATTGGGAAAAAAGAAGGAAGGGAGCGTCGCAGCTTCCTCGGACCAAGACCATTCGACTCAGCACCCAGAAGACTACAACTGGTGAAAATTTTGATTTTAGGGTATACTTCCCCTTTAAGCTGTGTTCACAACTGGCGCGTGTACGCGTGAAACCACGCGTTTGTGCGTATTTTTGCTGGCTTTTGGGGCGCCATGCGTACGGAAACGCGCCGAAATGGAAATTCCAACAAGTTGGAATTTTCAGCGCGTATTTTCAGCGCGAATTGCTTTTTTTTTGTGAACGCCTGAATGCGCGTTCAGGCACGCATGACCCGCAAGCGTACCGCGTCCACGCGCCAGTTGTGAACACAGATTTATGCTTACACTCCCAGCCTGTGTGTTGTTTACAGCCAGCTCGTGCATGTTTGTCCCCTGCATGCTGCATATATTGGCTGCATCCTCTTTAGACTTCTACATTTTCACCCTTGCTGCATGTGCTGCAGGACCCTCCCGATCCAGCTCTGACCTATTGTACTGTCCATACATAGCACCATCCGTGTTTAGCATGCATTTCCCATGCATGGATTGCACGTGCCAGAAGTGGTGCGCGCTCTACATCTGTCTTGTCTTTCCTGGTCTTTTACTATACTTTTAGAACAGACAGAAGAGAAGAAACAAGTAGTATCTATTCTAGGCTCTCTCCCCCCCCCCCCCTCCCCTCTCTCTCTCTAACAAAGTTTACTGTTGATATCTCTACAAGTACAAGATTGTAAACAAAGTATTTACGTCTATTGAATCTGAGTGCAGTATTTATTGAAGTCAAGAACCAAGTGTTTCTTTCGAAGTATCTACTATTCTTGTGGGTCGATCGGCAGCCCACACCCCATATCGTTTTTACGCTGCAGCTTTAACGCTATTTGGGTGATCAAGGTACGAGTACTGTAAAAAATAGCGTTACCGTTGTTTGCTAAGGGTGTCTATTGTAGCTTGGTAGAATGTACTTGTATCTGTCTGGGAGTAAGCTATTTCCGTTATGTATCTATTTGTGTTTATGAGCTAAAGTTTCTTTGTTTTTTTAGCCTTTACGGATGGCACACACTTTTATCGACCACTATTGATCGATAAGTTCTACATTTTCAAATAATTTCAAACTATTGTAACTTGGTCAATTCTCAGTCATTTGGAGAGAACAAAACATGTCGGAAGAAGAGAAATCTCTTAGCTGTCGTCTCAAACAATCCTTGTAGCGATAACTAAAAGAATTAGAAACAAGACAGGACCCCTCGCTATGCTTTGTTTTTACTGAGGTCGTCATGTGACCGATAATCGTTTTTGCAAAGACGTTTCTATCAGTTCGAATAACACACTTGATGACCTCGGTAAAAACAAAGCATAACGAGGGCTCTAGGGCTTTCAAGCCATCTCGCTGAAAGCATAGACCAATAATAATAGTATGTTATTATCACTACCCAGTGTCTGCTCCAGCGCCGGGTGAGCTGGGTAATCCACCCGGTTGGGCGGCGCTTGGACCCGGTTGAAAATATAGTACCGGGTCACCTGTGACCCGGTTGGTACTTTACACTTTCGAACTTTGAAAGGACTGACTACATGTCCATGGCTTGTATGTGTCAGATACTTCTTCTTCTTTCGTAATTTTCTAATTCCTGTCCTCTCTTTTCTAAATGTGGCTTATCCATTCGCCTTTCTATCATTAGGCCTAATTCCCGTTTATTGTCCGAATTCAAATAAACCAACCAACCAGTTAAAGCTTGTGACTCGGCTGGTGAGACAGCGCCAGGTACATTGTGTACCCGGCTCCGACCCGGTTGAAATGGTTGCGCCAGGTGCACGTGTACCCGGCTGTCCTACAATCCTAGAGCAGACACTGCTACCCCTCACATGGTCGCAGGTACCCATATGTCCGTTCACACAACAATCATACATTTGTTTGGAGACAGCATGTTTCTTGCCGAACTTGGACACTCTGTGTCCTGCTTGACCCTGCTGAGTCCCTAACTACATCTTAGCGCAATTCGATATTGCTCTAGCATCAAGACGTGCGTGGTTGAAGGGAAGGGAAGGTCAGGGAGAATAATAATACTTGTAATAATACACAAGAGAGAGATTGGAAGCTTTGTTACAACTCTGAGTTTCACGTATTACTACGATCATTGTAGGCATGCAAGAAACCAGACTAAGCACACGGAAAGAATGGACAACCAGCCATTGTGTCTCTCAGATTCTTGATCTGTAAAACCAGCTCAACAGCAGCATATGGCCAAGAGCATTACGCAATGCATTGTTACCATGACTGTGCACATCAGTACTACAGCCGTGATGTACAATGCATGACTACCACATTACCCCCTTCCCTAAGAAATTTTTTTTCTGCAAATGCAAACCTGTTTGAGAAAAAAAAAGAAAAAGGAGAAAATTGCAGACAAGAAAAGAACAATAATATCGCAAAGGAAACGAGCAAGAATCAATTCAAAGCAACAAATTCGATACACCCTGACACTGATGGGTCAACTCACTGAAGATACATCAAACCTGTACCACGATACAAACAAAAAACCAAACCAGCAACTAAATCGCAAATTGGCATAGTTATGCAACATGGTCAATAAAATGGAGATATTGCATCAACGCACCAGCAGCTTTCTCAGTGAGCTTGACAGTGCGGCCAGCGCGGGTTACATAGCCCTCGCGATGATGATTCGGTGATGATTGCTCACCCAGGTTCCTATGTATATCAGACAGCAAATCTCAGTCGCATTTCAAATTAATGTTCTTGAAGAAATTTTTTTGGAAAGAATTGCCCGTCATAAGGTTTGTATGGTTCTGCCAATTTCACTGAATTTCGAGCAGAATCTGCCACCTTTTCGAGCAGAATCCGCCGGTGCCTATATCGGGAAGGGGAATCATCTCTACCCATTTGGAAAAATAGTCACCCACCTCCTGAATGTACATGTGTTTATAACCACGAGCTGTTAGAGCAAGGGATCCCATAATGTCCATTCCCATTACTTCAATTATAGCTATCAATAGTATTTTTAAAGCAGCTGCAGACAACTCCACACTATAATTATGACACTTGTTCGAGTTTAGACGTGTAAATTTCCAGAATCGATGTTCTCGCTCCTATCATCAGTGGAATTCATACGGAGCTAAGGATCAACAACGAATGCAACTAAGGTTGAGTAATAGAAAGGTGCTATAATGACACATACATCATGATACAAGCGCAATAAAACTACCGCACATAGATGGTAACGCAAAATGGTAACAAATGTACATAACTAAAGGTGAGGAGGAACTGAACGAAGCAGTCCGTTAGTGACCGCTAACTACTCCCGTACTACTAAAGCGTTGGGAATTATCGGTGTCGGATGACATCCTTCCGTGGAACGACCGTGTGGTTAGTCCGGAGTCTCTCCGGGACATACTATTGAATGATCTGCATTTCGAGCATTCGGGCATTGTAGGAATGAAAAGAATGGCTCGTAGATAAAGATATCGAAGCTTTGGCTCGCGAATGTATTCAATGCCAGGAAAGCGCTCAAATGCCAGCCAAGGAGTATGGAAGTTGGTCTTGGCCTACTGGTCTATGGCAACGATTGCACTTGGATTTTGCTGGGCCTTTTATGGGTAAAGTGTATTTGGTGCTGGTCGACGCTTACTCACGCTCTGTTGACGTAATACCCATGGATAAATACAGGGAAAGGTGCGAGTGTGAGTATACCCAAAAAGCGTTCACACCAAGAAACCTAACTGATGTAAACAGAAGCAGATTAAATTCACGCTTAGGCTGTTAGGTAGGTCGTCGACAACTCGTTAGTTTTGTCCATTTGTTGTCTGTTTTTGTTGCACGGCACTTCACGTGTCTTGGGTTTACTCACACTTGCACCTTTTCTCCATTACTTTCTATGTGTATGGATCATGCATTTGACGCTGCTGTTTTGGCTGTTCTTCCTTGCGCTGGTTCTATCACCTCTCTGCTGTATTTTACCCATAGTCCATGTTCATTTGATTTTTCCCGTATTTCACCTGATGATAAGGCACGAAAGTATATACTAGTGAAAACTTTCAAAATGTTTTTAAAAGAGCCTGAAGTTTGTCCTACTTCTAAGTATCATTGCATTCTTGTCTCCAAGGAAATTGTTTACTATCTTAGCGTAATTAGATATCGCTCTAGCATCCGTGTGTGGTTGAAGGGAAGCGAAGGTCAGGGAGAATAATAATACCACCTGGTGTCTTTGCCAGCTAAAAAGAGACGAGTGATGGTTGTGTGATTCAGCACGACCATGAGGTTGGCCGGATGCCAGCGAGGCTCCGGAACCGGGCTGTTATGTTTGAATCCATAGTCTGTCTGTACATGATCTGTACGCCATACGCTGCTCTGTGTGTACTGCACATTATACATGCGTGCATTGTACACTGTTGTCAACTGCTTTGCCATGTGTACGTTATTCTGTAGCGTTTGAAGTAGAGCGCCAGCTGTGTCAGTTATTCGTTTCCTGATTTCTGAAGTATAGTTGTAATAAATTGTTCTCTTGCTCATGTAGTTCTCTGTCGATCTTATTCTGGCGAATATAACACGGGCCATCTTGTCTTGCGCGGTATTTTCTCTTTCTCTCTCCATGCATGTCTCTTTGTGCACACTTATGTATGCCTATGTCTGTCTGATTTTCTGTGCCCTTTTGTAGTGCCAGTTTGGTCAGCCGAGACTGTTTCCAGTTGCAACGTACGGGAATTGGCAGTGCTCCCCAATAGCATTGGCTACAAAGAGGCATGTGTAGCTCAATCTGGTTTGCTTGGTCTGTCCAATCAAACAGAAATAAGCTCTCGACACTCCGAGGTACAGTCCACCTAGGCTCCACCAAAGACAGCACATAATACTGTCTTCGTGTGGGAGTTTAGTCTAATTAACACCATTTCACAGCTAAGGGTTATTATTATCATTTCCCGGGGAATGACACGAGTCCACTAAGGGCTTAATTTGTATACCGGAAAGTGCAAACACCCATGTCACAGCAAACGCCCACCCCAGCCGGTCCTCACCTTTTTCACAAGGCAGGCCATTTTTGGTCCTGCCCAGGTCAATATAGTTGTGCCAAAACAGTTGTCATAAAGGTTGACTTCGTACCAGAGCAACTGCATTGCCTTCGAATTGCCAATGTCTTACCAGAATATCCTGTGCAAGCAATTGTCATTGACCTGCATCAAAGAAAACATATTATTTTTCCTCCAATAAATGAATCGTCTTTGTATCAGCTCGTTTTTCATGTCTAATGGCATAGAATCTACGACGTGGAATTCGAATCCAGTGTTGTAAAGTCGCAAGTCGTGAATTTTGAATGCGATGGTGATTCACCAAAGATAGGATGGTTCTACGAAGCATCAGCGACTTACCCGGTGGCAGTCGTAATGAGAACAGGGAGAATGATTTGACAGGGAAGGCGAAAAGAGCGTGGCAAAAAGCAACAGCTATGGAGTCACTGCTTGCTTGTTGACAACGCTTTTAAAAGGGCTCGAGACAACTATCGTCTTTCTGTGTTGCATGGGTGAGAAAAAAAATGATGGCTTGAGTTCATCTGAAGTGTATTTCGTTCCTAGTTTTCTGTGTAGCTAGTGCGAGGAAGATATTTTGAAAGCCAGCAAAATGGGCATAGTTAACCATAGAAAAGCGCTGTTAGCGGTAGATGAACTTTCAAGTTAATCGCATATTAATGATATTATACAGGTTGACAGTTCATGGTGTCAGTGCGTACAGGCCTGTACATGTTGCACAGGGATGGTGAGCGTTCACAGCGGACTTTGCGGTACTCGCATCCTGAATGTACGTCACACACTGGTGCAAATTTTCTGGAGACCGTAGTTTTATGTTAAAAAGCCATCTGAACTTTGCTAATACTTACTTGAGTTTCATTATGTGTGAAACTGACCCAAATTCCTTCTCACCTAGATTCAATGCTATTGACTGCAGTTGCCGTTATTTTTCGCACTGACGAGCAGAACGCTAAAAGAGCTAGATTTTGTAAATTTATTTTTCGTTGCTACCAGGTTCGGCCTCATTTCCTCTGTGCTGCGCTGATGAGTCCACAAAGGACGAAAAGTTCTGCCCGCAGATTGAGTAGATTTTGGAATACTCGTTTTTAAAAGAACAATACCTGGGTGTAGTCTATAAACTCTACAACGCTGTTATGTTGTGTGGCCATGTCTGCATCGATAATACTATCAATTGCTCTGTTGCTCTGATTATAATTATTGTCAGTTTCTTAACGTTGCATGGATGCAACCAATGAGATTTTCGGTCTTTGACCACTTTGGTGGGTCTGATCTACTCACCTTGCACCGCTTTAGGAGCTGCATTTGCGCCTTGATCCTAAAAGGAATGAATGGTGGTGGCGTTCCCACTGATGCGGAAAACTCGGCAACCGTGAATTTTCTTAACGTTGACAGCACCAAGCAAGCTTGGCTAGCCTACACATAAGCCAAGTGGAATGAAGAAATGAGGAATAAGCTGACCATCGCGTTGCCCTCATGCATGACACACACAACACACAGCCTATTATACATGCACACACGCACATGTTCGCCCACCCATGCACAAGCAACAGAAGCACACTGTATGTTTCAATGTTCAAAGAGACCCATGCCGTATGTGTTTTGCAACGTTCTTGTATTCGGCTGTGTGCAGTAAAAGCGGAATGGATTCATGTGTCAAGGGTACCTCACAGTGCATGGCCTGACCTCGCAGGACTCTTGCAGTGTATGGACTACATCATGCGTGTACCCCTCGGTATTTAGACATGTATATTTTTGAACAATTTGGTGAGTTGATCAAGTTTTTCATCTATCGACTCACCGTCATTGGCTAGCCAGTCGACTTATCGAATCAGTCCTTTCACCCGTGCACCCCCCCCCCCCCCCACCCGAAAGGTAAACCCTGGGCATGAGATGCTGTACGTCTATAGTGGATTTTCTTCTTCCTTGGGTTGTTATCTGTGCCACCAGCCTCTACCACGTGGTAGCCCAGATGATGCTGGTGTGGACGCGCTTAAATCGATCTGTCTGGCCTCAGCCGATGTCCAGGTTGAAGATGTAGCTCTTGATGAGAGCCCTGAATATCGATATGTGTCGGAGGTGAGTTTGAAGACTTTCAGGATTCTCGCCTTCAAGCACCAGAATAGCCACTGTCAGCGAGTTTGGTGCAATAATTCTCTCTCTCTCTCTCTCTCTCTCTCTCTCTCTCTCTCTCTCTCTCTCTCTCTCTCTCCCACAAACTTTCTTCTCTTCTCGTCTGTCCTTGTTTTGTTTGGTTTTGCTTGTGCTTGTGCGATTCACATGAGCATGTTATTGGCTGCTGAATCATCCCCCGCTACATACATTACGGTATATCTTATGAATATTATTATTGCACTACAGAATCTAGGGTTTGTTGTTAAAATCTGTTCTCAGAGCCTAGAAAGCTGTTTAGTGGGATCATAGAAACAAAGTGTCTCAGGTCTTTGCTGCAAAATAGTGCTCAATACCCTAATAAGGGTAGAGTGCATGTGCGGTGGAATCATATAATATGTATATGTGTACAGGATAGGAGCTGTCCTATCAGTTTGAGGGAAGAGTGTACCTAGTGTTTGTAAAACGGTTTGTCTATTTTGTTCAAGGCTGATACGGAGCAGATCCCCATTCGCCGTGAAGGTACAGTGCTTTTCATGGAAGGAGGAAAAATTGAGTTTCTTGCCGGGACAGTGAGTGAGACCATGCACATATCGCCACCCGTCCACATGATGTTCGGAGACACGCTACCGAGCGAACATGGTGATGGCGTTAGGCTACACAGTGTAAGTCAGGGTTCTAGCCAAAGGGGGGGTAGGGGGCGCTGCGCCCCCCTACTCTATAATTGAGCTCAGCTCACACTTACTAAGTATGAGCTGAGCTCAATTCAACGAAAAGAGCACACACATCAACAAACAATTTCAGAGTGAGTGTTTTGTCTCTGTTTGCATAAGTTCTGATGTGAGGTGTAAGTGTAGACTGTTGAAGACTCTCTAATTAAAAAGATGCATGCATGTGACAACAAAGTAAAATTAAAATCTGAAAAATGAAAATATGAATTCAGATATCTGATAATAAGGACCCAATTCAGGCTCTTCGACAACATCTTGACAGTTTCCACTTATATACTTGTACTTTCAAGGTGATACAAAATAATAGTACAAGGAAGAAGAACTAAAAATGTGTGTGTAACTGCACCATCCTTTCTTCAGTTTTTGACCAAATCCACTCCGGGGTTTTAAAACAATCTGGACGAAAATACGATGTTTGTGACTCAGGGACTTTGATTGCATGACTCCGTGCGGTTTGGAAACTATTATCGCAGACGGCAGTGCATTTTCATTTTTAAATTCACTATAGTATGTTGTGCGTGCTTATTGTCTTATTACTGATGAGGAATCTCTTGTTTGGTCCGATGTCTCCATTGAATGCTGTTGACATGTACAGCTGATGGCGTTTGGATCACACGAAGCTAAATTTCGAAGACCAGTGCAGGTGGAAATTGACGTGCCTCGCATCGCTGAGACTGACCAGGTAGGTTAATGGTAGCTTGCATAGACCTCGGTCCTACCGGTAGGACCTACCGGTAGGACCATCATGCACAGACATGCTGCACGGCCTCTGTTCTGACATTGACCTAAAACTTGACCTTAAACTGTTGTTGCTAAGGGGCTAATGAAGGAGTCAACAAATTTTAGACGTGTTCGTACAAAGCATATTACAGTATTCCACGGCAATAGCCCATGGTAACCATGGAAACGGAGTATGGAATTTTTCATTCTACAACCATGGCAGGCTGAGAAAAACATTAGGACCTCACCACGATTGATGTGCCATGGTCAAAATTCACTTTGGACAGAGTTTCTAGCACTCCGACAGGAGCATGTGCGCCCATTTTGACAATAAACATTGATAAAGTTGCACATATGCAATGCTCTGGACATAGTCTGGTATTTTGCGCCATTACATTGCCTTACAAAGACCTCACCTCAACAATTGTTTCAAGAAAATTCTCAACCAAAAGCACTTTTGAAGCTCGATTTCTTGGGTCCTACCGGTAGGACGGTTAACCCTTTTAGTGCCACTGCGCTTACTACACGTGTAATCAGCATGCTGGGCCGGCAGTACATGCAATGTTGACATTGGGCACTAAAAAGTGAAAAGTAAAAACATCGCCATTTCACTGACCAGTAACAGATTTTCATCATCCTAGGCTCTCTGGAAAACGGAGAATCGGTCGATTGATGGTGCTCACTGCTCCCTAGACACAGAAGAGTGGCCTGCAAACACTTCGAAAGCCGCTCCATCACACCCTGGTAGTGCAATACCACACCGGGTGACCTTCAGCGATTGCGTACATCGGTCCGCGCTCTAATGAATGATACATCGTTGGAAAGCTATTGTAGCATGGCTACTTTATGACACGTAATTTGTATACGCATAAATAGTACACCGTAGGAATGCATGGATAGGCTGTGCGCATACTCGCACTGCCTTGTCTTCTTCTTCTCCTTGTGTGAGACAATGAACGAATATTGATAACTACTTACGTAACAACAAGTATGTGCTTTGAGTGCTGAGACTGAGAGTATACGAGTTACAATGGTGGCAGCGGAAAAATAGTCGTCGGTTTTGTCCTCGGCTGGGAAGACGCCTCCGCAGGAGAGACAAGTTGCAGAGTCGACAAGTTCCAGAGAGTCTGAGACCAGTTCCAGCTACTCGGGAGACCAGCCCACAGACTAAGTTCTAATTTACTAGTATTGGTCATTCTATCCTTCGTCTCGTTTTCCATTCTTTACTTCTTGACTGATTGTTCGCTGTGCATGAGTAACAGTTTTGTTTGGTGTAAAAAGGGCTAGAATTTTCACTACAATTATTTTTGCACATAGTTCTACGTGGACGTGGGTGTGCGTGCATACTTACAGCTAGCTGCCCTGGCCTTGGTCTTGTACTTGTTGTAGTACTACTGTACTACTAGATTGTGCATGCATGCGCCTGCATATGACGTAACTCCATGATTGTACATGCAGTACTTACTACTTGTGTAGCTAGCTACATTGTAGCTAGGTAGACCTACGCACTACGTAGCTTGACACATCACGGATTCACGGTACGGGCCGCGCCGGCGGGTAGGCCGCGAGTGACGTTTGCATTGCAGGGTTTTTTTTGTAGAATTTTTTTTTAAAAATTTTAAATTTTGTTTAAATTTTGAACTTGATCTCGAACGCAAGATGGGCAAGTCGAAAAAGCAGACACGGTCACCTAGTCCATTGTCATTCGAGATGTATGACAAGCCTGCCAGTGCCTCAGCCTTACCGAGACCAATCCTGTTACCCGAAGTATTTGGTCGTGCTGGAAATGAAGATTTTTCGGCCTACCTCAAACATTTTAACGATGCATGCCACCTGAACGGGTACAGTGAGGAACAAAAACTATTGTTATTACCCACAAGACTCGTAGGCACGTCCCATGAACTGCTGGAGACCATTCTCCTATCTGATGCAGACGTTTCGTTTCATGACGCCGTTGAAGCGCTCCGCAGTCGCCTGGAGCCACCACAGCAGGCCCAAATGCACGAAGCGGCTTTACGCCAGCGCCTGAAACTCGCCCATGAAACGCAGTATGCATATGCCATGGAGCTCCGCCGCCTTGCTGCCAAAGCATATCCAGGCCAACAGGGCCCGTTACTAGAATCGATGCTGCTGCAGATTTTCATCGATGGTCAGCCAACAAAAGATATGCGCCTGGCTCTGTCGTCGCCACGACCAGCAAGCATTGAATTGGCGGTCCAAAAAGCAATTGAGGTCTCGGCAATCTACGCCAGGGAACAGAGCCGGATGCCCAGTGTAGAGTCTCACTTCACTCAGGCTGTACATGTAACTGGTGACTACGATGGCTCGGCCTGCGCCGCGTTGCCGTTACGCAGCCAGCCACCTGGCCCATCACCAGCTGTACCCCGTGCTTCTGTTGCCAAGGCAAGTGCGTACGACGCTGGAGAGCGTGATCGACTGGCCCAAGTGCTTGAGAAGTTTGATTCAAGAATGTCAGATCTTGAAAAGAGACTCGGCCGTTTAGAAATAATTGTCGCTCCGCAAACACCAGTTACTGCAGGAGCAAGTCCCGATGGCCAGTCTCGTGTCAGTGGACGTGGTCGTGGACGGGGACGGGCGTATGGTCGTGGTGGTCGCGATGAACCGCCGATTTGTTTTGGGTGTGGACAACCTGGCCACTTTGCTGTTGATTGCCCACACAACCCTTGGCGCTCGGGAAACTGAGTACGACTGGTGGTGTGGGACAACTCCCAGTCGTCCACGAGGAGCCATCAGATGAGGCGCGAATCGAAGCTGTATCATCTGTCGTCCCGACCCTAGACCTCAATGTTGAAGGCAAGAGCGTAACTGCACTAATTGATTCTGGTTCATGTGTTTCTTTGTTGCATGAACAAACATTATTGTCCACGTATGGTGATGTGCCTTTGCAAGCTGCCCCCCGTTTGTGTGCGGTGAATGGTGAGGGACTTCGGGTTCTGGGTGCTGTAGATATCGAATGCTGCATTGGAGGGTGCTCATTTTTGCATG